CCAAACTAATAAAATTTAATTTTAATACAAAATTATTAAAAGTTGTCATGTTATTAAATTTGACATGCATGTCGTTTGTCCTGATTATGTGTTTTGTGTGGTGTAGTGTAGGATGGCTAGGAAAACAAGGGTCCTCGTACGAACATTTATTTGCAACCTATTAAAATCAAATCAAAACGCAACAATGGACGATTCGCACGTCACTTCCCGAAAGTTTATGAGAATGTATGGTCACTCTTAGCTACAGCCACTACCTTTTATCACTTTTGCACGCATTCGAACTCCAGAAGTTCCAAGTTTAGAAGAACACAAGCATGATCTTGAAGCCACTAGAATCAATAATATAACTTTTCTAAATCCTAAGCTACCATACATATCAACAAAATTCATTGAAAGTTCCATTTTTCTTTCTCCTAGAGGAAGAATAATGCCAGCTTGCATGTATTTACCAAACCAAAAGCTTACTTGCAAGAAACAGAAGCAGAAGTAGATAGATACATCAACTTTGCAAGGTTTGTCAAGTACATACACATCAACAATTTGCAAGGTATGTCACCTTTTACTCTTTGCTTTCAAGTACAAGAGCTTTAATCTTTAAGCCAACCCACAAAACATTTCTTGCTTTGAACCCTCAAGGGTTCCATCACAAAGTATGTGACGCTAGCTAAATCTTATCCAGATATATATCCTTCACATGTTATGTGGAAAATGTAATCTACATATACCCTTTAACAGTTCATTTCATAAAACTGTTTTGTCCCTTGAAAATGATCTTAAAAATAACCATAAATAGGGAATTAAAACCAAAAACCTCAAAAGGTAAAGGCAAAATACAATAATTAATTAAGGCACAATATACATACATAAGATGGAAGGAATATGTAAGATATCCCTCTATGGTTTCCCCCTTGAGCTTTGTATTCCAATGCCGTTGTGCTTCCTAGAAGGTCCTGAAGGTGGAATAGGCATTGCTTTTGGCAAGAAACCAAAGAAATTTGAAGACAAAGCCTTATCCTTAGGCTGCACTTTGTAAACTTGATGAGTGTGTCTAGAGCCATAACTGTGGCCAACAAAATATATCAGCAAAAGCAGAAGCACTAGCAACACACTGAGATGTCTTCTATCCATTTTGTCCAAAGGGAGGGTCCTCAAAAGGGAAAGAAAGTGAATGAAAAAGAGAGACACAAAGGTAGCTCTAGAGAGAGGGTTTGTTAAAAGTGGGGAAATGTTCAAATAGGAAAGGAGAGAAGAAAGGATGGTGCAAGCTACAACATGGTTTCACACATTCTTAATAAATGAAAGGAATTTATGGAGTGCTTGTAGTGGGAAGAGTGGCTTGTTTGTGAAGTATGTGTGAAAGAATGGAAATGGTACCAACAAATGAAGCGCAAGGCCGGTGTGCGCGGAAACATGGGGGGAGTAAATGCAAGGTCATGTGCTTTAAGATTTTACTGTTGGGAGTGATATTATTTGTGTTAGGCTTTTGGTGGCTTGTAGCATTAAATGAGACAACATGAAGCAATAGTAGTACTTTTATGCAATTTAAAAAAGACTAGGAAAGCCTTTATGAGGCCTTGGAACGGGTCCTTAGGGGAGGGAAGGGTGTTCTGAAGTCATTCAAGATGTGAAAGTATAGTTGAAACTAGCCAAAAGAGCATTGCCAAATGAAAAGAAAGGAGAAAAAATTATTCAAAAATTTGATGTTTATGTAAGTATGCAATATATATATTGGGAGCAAAATAGGGCGAGTGTTGTGTGGTTAGGTGAATTTGTGGGCCAACATGGAAATTAATGGCCGACTAAGGAACTGAAAGTCCGAAACTGTTGTGCTAAGTCTCACACAACATGTAAATATGTCCCTCATCAATGACTCGGGGACTAAAATTTATAGGGGGCATTCAATGAGGTGATGTCATGGCTTCACTCTTTCCCTCTTACTACCAATTCCTTAGTGAGAATTGGTTATTGCTCCAACTATGTATATAGAAATAGTTAATAAGCTTATTGAAATGATAAAGTAATTATGTGAAAACATACGCTTGCATTTTTACAAAAAAAAATATATATATTTTTTTATAATTCTCTTAAATTTATAATTGGATAGGGTTACTTATTTTCAATGGAAAGAAAAGATCCCACACTGGCAGTAGATACACACAAGAGGGTATTGATGAATGAGGCGAGTACTGCATGAGTAGGGTAGGCAAAAAAATTGAGGTTTCTTAGACATAATTAAGAGTTGGACAATGAAGTTAGGGGGCCCATGAAATGCACATAAATAAGAAGAATCAGATAAAGTTGGACCCACGTTCTGTGTGGAAACAGAGGCAGAAATTAGGGACAGATTGATGAGAGGGTTGTTTGTGTTGTAATCAGTGCTCGTGAGTTCTTGACAGAAGGAAAGCTCTATGCTCATAGCAGAAATGAAACATGGTTAACCTTAAAAGTTTAGACACTGATGTGGTCTGAACATCTTAAGTGTGTCTATAAAGAGAATAACTTCGTAATGATAAAAGACACACATTACTATATAATTACATTTTTAATTTATAGACACCTTAATAATGTTATCACTTATCAGCTACTTGATATTATTCATTTTTTTTTATCCCTTTTTTCTTGTCGCTTTATATCATTTATTACTTTTCTTTCTTATTCTTATCTTTTTGTAAATGTAGACTCTTCAAAAAATGTTTATCAAACATTTTTCAAATTATTATTGGTGTGACAATGTTGGAAAAATATGTGGGTACGTAAATTGTCTTTCTTCAATAGATTGGAAGCTCTTTTGTTCAATCTGTATTTCATTAATATTAGAAAGAAAAATGGTCTTTTTGTTTCGCCTTTTCAGGAAATATACTTTTTATTTAGAATATATATTTTAAAAATTATAATAATTCTGTGAATTTTTAAATAAGAAAAAATTAATACTTTTCTTGTAAGTTTCAAAGACATTCTGAACTTTGAGAGCAAAATGGATTCTAAATGAGAAGGGGGGTTGTAGAGTTGCTTACATTTTCTTGGCCCAAGCACATTGGACATGATGTTCTTTTACTTACACTTCAAGTTTTATATTTTCCGTGGTAACTTTGTTTTTTTATTATTTATTTTATATAATGCTGCTTAAGTTTACTTGCACAAACAATTGAATTATTATTCACAAATACAAAAAAAAAATATACATATATAAAACATTGTATCTTTTTGCAGTCCCTTTTCTTGCTTTAATTTAGTTTGTTCTTTACAATTTGTTTCCAAAGGGCAAACAAGGTTTTGGAACTTTCCAAACCCACTACTGAAATAAAGAAAACAACAAAATTATTGATACTATAATAGATACTTGTTCTTGTACATATTAGAACTAGAGTTATACTCCACTGAATAATCATCATCCACCCTGTTGCAGTGCTCCGGGATCAATGAGGCGATACTGTAGCTACATTGACAATAATATGGAATATATTCTATCCAAAGTAGATAAAGAAAGAAAAAGGTACTAAATAAATAATTTTCCTGTTACTCACTCATTTCTATTATTCTGGTATCTCTGTTCAAATAACACTTCTTTGTTTCTTCCCTTAAAATTTGGTTGTTCACACATGACATAATTCCATGTTCCTCAAAAAGTCTATTAAATTATTAATCTCCTCGGCGTGTCCCTTTCCCAACACATTTCACAATAATTTGCACTACATATTGATTTACAAGAAGAACATAACATCAATTAATAATAGATATATGATAACATGACAAGAAAAAAATTATAGGAAGATAATTGGTATAAGAGCATAAGAGATGAGATGAAGATCATAACCATTGAAAATTTTGTCTTTCATATTTAGCTGTTGTGCGAGCGCATGCAAGAATTTTATGATTCATTTTTCACCTAGTTTGACCAATGAGGAAAAACAAAAGTAATCTTCAGAATGTTTTATTGTCCTAAATCTTGGGCTCCCTCCATGTGGTTTTGTTGAAATTGGAAGGAAATTTTGGGCCTATATGAATAAATCAATGTGGGCCTATATGATATTGTGGTGGTGACAGCTTATGGTGGTCTAGTGAAGGTTGTGTTGGTGGTGTTATTCAAACAAGAAACTTAAATGATTAATTTAATTAAAGTGATTGAATTCTTCCTTAAAATTTTCATTCACATCATTTACTTTACATGAATATTTTAAGGCAAATGCAGCCATGTGAGTAATGAATTCATTCTTGTGCAATTGTAATTAAAGATTCATCCATGAGTATACGAAGTGTTCAAGTTTACTCCTTTGTGGAAAAATTGTTACATTACTTATGGTTTGAAACTGGTAGTAAAGTTTGTTCTTATTTCTATGATGTTGTATATTTTAAGTTTCTAAATTTGATCACGGGACACATGGTTTGAACCTCTTTTCTTTGTTAAATTTCATGTCATGTTCTCATAACATCAAGTCTTATTCATGATTTGATGATCTTTGCTGGGTTTCGATTTAACTTTCGTCTCCATTTTTTCAAATAACATTTGTAAATTAACTTTCTTGTACCATAAAATTTATAGATTAACTGAGAAGTTATTCTTACTGGTAATCGAATTGTGTTAAATATTCGAGAGTTATTCCATCTTAACCTTTAAGCACTCGATTTATGCCAAATTTTAATGTTATATAATTATTTAAAATATCACTTAATTTTATACTTTAATGTTATTTATTTCACTTAATCTTACATTAAAAATGTATTTTTTTAATAGATCATCTGTACATGTCCACACATATACACGAGTTTTGTTATTTTTTTTTACAATTTTTTAAATAAATTTCCCCTATTTTATAAAATATGAACCCTGAACCCTAAATTATATATAAATAATTTACACAAACATTGAACCAAAGTAAAACTAAAAAATATAAAAAAAATTAATACTTTTTTCTCTGAAAATACAATTTCTTGTCGCAGTCCCGTTCAGCGGGACGGGACGCATTATTTTATGGTAGTAATTTTTAATAAAAATAGAATTTCGTCTTTATTTTGAGAGACTGTCAAAAATTAGGGTTTGGTTTTTCGGGCTGCGAATTAGGGTTTCTGATTGGATCCCCTTCTTCTCCATCAGATCCATCAACTCTATCATCGTCTTCTTCTCTTTCTTCTTGATCTGTCGCCATGACGGACGGCTTCTGGAACCGGCAGCAGGCGCATCTCCCTGCTTCCGGCATGCTCAAACGACCTCGTACCGAATACGGTTCGTTTTTTTTTTTCTCTCTCTTTTTCGGTTCACTTTCTGATGGCAACGCCACTATTTGACATATTCGATACATTTTCGTCCATACAAACATACCCTAATTCAATCGGTATTTGGAACTTCAAAGTTAGGGATTGGAGCTAGGTCTAACATTTGTGTATAATTAATTTGATAGTGGGTTTCATTGTTTTAGAATTCTTTAAATTGACAGAATGCCTCTAATTTTTTTGACCTTTCCTAGTCCGTGTTTGATGTTTTAACGAAGCAAAGGATGGTAGAGTTTGAGTTTGAGTGTACATAGATGCGTTGCTGGACTTTGAGATATACCCTAAAAGTATTTTTATAATTCAGTTTTTAGCAGTTGAGTTCTTGTCTGATTTAATATGTGCAAAGTGAGGTATACTGTTTTTCCTATCACTGGCATTTTTGAGCCGTGATTTTCAAGTAGGTTTGACAGTGTCTGTGTGACTGCCTGGGAAGATTGAATTTCAACTCTAAGATTATCATCCATAAATATATTAATTGGTTGTATTACTTTATATGATTGTTATGCTGGTTATTGCCACCTGCTGTAATAAAATCTCTGGAATTCCTTTTGCTTTTATATATTCTATCACAGTTTTGGCTGCAAAAATTAAAAAGAGAAATTGTAAGGGTCAAAATCATATTTCATATAAATATAGGTAACTTTTAAGGGGTAGTATTTAAAATTTTGGCTCCTTGCTTGCTCCCAATGAATCAACAAGATAGGTCCACCTTTCCCTGCTTCTATACTTTATGTGGATGTTTCTCCTACTTTGGTAAAACTTTGATGGTCATGGCCTTCTTGTTGGAGCAGTTTCAACTCCATAATGCGTGATACTGCAATTGCTCATTAAGCAAAAGGTTGCTTGCGGAATGAAGCTATCTTCCGTTGCACTTAAATCTATTCCCAGGTATTGGCACAGCTGCATGCAGTGTGAAGAATTAATCACTCTGTATTGTGCATGCAGTATGGGAAATGTTGAAGACTCAAAATTTTAAAAATTTGTACGATTCAAATGATGTTAGAATGTCTGAAGATCTTGATATGTTCATTTGATTGATCACTGAAGTCAATTAGGGGCATCCAATTGCTTGAGGTTGGGTTTTATCAAGGTTAAAATGAGGGAATTCGACACCCTGTAAAATAATGGCCTCTATTGGAGGCTGCTGTGATCAGTGGCCACCTACTGTGTGATTTTCCATGTATCATTAAAATCCAATTCCATTGGAGTGGCATACATTGTGGTAGATGAGGAATGTGAAAGGTGGGCATTACCCAAACAAAACACTGAACATTGATCCAAAGCACTTCTATTGCATAATGGTTTATAACACTGTTTAAATACAATTTTAAGTGTGAAATGCTTTGAGGTGAGGATGTCAGATGAGATAACCAAGTTGTATAGGCAGTGGGAATAGTAATAGAAACTAAAACAGATGTGGAAGTTAGAAAATGAAGGTATAGTATATGAGCAAGTTGCCTTGTTATGTAGCTCAACATTGTGAAACTGATAGAGCCCATTTGAACTGAGAACTGTCTAAAAGTACTTCACAAGTGTTGTGACATTTGACAAAAGAAGTGGGATGAAATTGGAATTTCGAAGTAAGCAGGCTTCCTTGCAAATTGACTCACTAATAAGATTTTTGGTAATGGATGGGCCTAGAAGTAGATTATCGAGGACGAAGGTAGTTTGTGGCTTTAATGGTAGATTTAAACTTGGGAGTAGCCAACAAAAGTCAGTCAGACCTTGTCCATTTCCTATCAGGATCATATCAAAACCTGATAGGGCAAAGCTTTGGAGGAAATTCCACAGGTCTCATACTTACACTGTGAGTGGCATGAGAGTCTGGAAACCATGCTTGGGTGGAGTGGAAAACCCTTCAAGTTTTGTAACTTGTAAGGCTTGAGGTATGGGCCTTTGTTAAGATATGCATGGAGTTGAATGGGCTGAAGTGGTACTAAACTGACAGACTTGTTACAGAGTATATGATGCAGTAGAAATGTTCCCAAAAATGGGTTCATCGTGGGGACTGGGTGTTGGTGATTTGTAGTCCTTGAGGTTTTTACTGCTGGGCAGAATAGTATGTTGAAGTAGGGTTGAGTGAAGTAAATAAGCTTGTGCTGGATTCAGAACTAGGTTGGTTGAGCCACCAAGTTGTGATCAAATAGATGATAGCTTGTCATGGCATCACGATCAAACTTGACATAATTGACACATAATTGAGCCTTGAAAAACCACTGGAACTTCCAAAAACTCCTACATGACTGGGTCAATCACCACTGCCTGCCTCAAGAAATGTGCCTTGTGACCCATACACACTGGGCTTGGGGTAAAGCAAGCTCTATTTAGCACCATATCCAAGTGATGGCAAGAAATTTTGGCTTGATTCACATTTTGACCAAGTGGAAAATGAGCTGACAATGGATATGTTGGTATAGAGAGCTGAATGTCCAAAGCTGCAGCATTATCCTTTGTAAAAATTTGAGCTTTGTTTTAAAAAAAGTGCATTAGTGGTATTTGTACAACCCCCGCCTTTGTTGCACAGTGGCAAAATGGAGAGAAGAAAGAAAAGAAACTGTGGGAAGAAAGAAGTAGGGTTAGGGTTTTCAACTTTGTTAAAAAATGAAATAGGCAACTTTGCTCCTAACCCCCTTCCTCTCCCCAAATGGTGCAGTTTTGAGGGCCAAAACTGTTTTTCTTTTTATTTTTGCTTCTCTGATGTGGAGCTATAGCGCTGCAAAATTAGGCTGCAAACGAAAAAAGGCAACCCTATTGAAGTTCATAGGAAGCCAACAACTGCTCTGCCACATGCTTCTGTGAAAGTGCTGTTTGTATTACGGGGCATGTGCTATTTGGTTGTCTGATTTTTGCTAGTATCTATTGAATTTATTAGGTGTATTTTACAGTCAGTAATTAGCAATGTTGGGATAGCTATGGTAGTGTATACATTTTTCAGATTTAGCTTTTTTAGCTAGGGAATTGTAATACTAGATTCTGTTGCATTGCAGATATGTCACCTTCTGGTCTGTCTCAAGGTAATGAGATGCACAATTATATTGCTCGAGATGATGACCATACTGGCCAACGAATGCTAAAGGACACTAAGACACTTGGGTCTGCTTATGACCGCTACCTTCAGAGTGCAGGGGTAACATCTTAAGCTGTTTTATATCCGTAATATGTGTGTGCGCATTTACTTTCCCAGCTTGTTTGCTGAAAACTTTCTTCCTTTTTTATCATGAAACAGCTTACTTCATTTAATTCTGGGGAAGCCAGTGCAATTGGTAGTGTTGGATTGGCAAGGGGTGTTGGTGGGTTGCCGAGCCATTCGCTAGCTGATCCTGCTGTCATGGGGCATCCTGGTGGCGGTCCTGATCTTGCACGAAATGGGCGAAGTGTCAACTATGGTGGTCAGTTACCAGTAGATGCAGTTTCCAGGCCTGGACCTGAAACAGTACCTCTACCCCCAGATGCTTCAAGCACTTTATATGTTGAAGGTCTCCCATCTGACAGCACGAGAAGGGAAGTGGCCCGTATCCTTTTAATTCTGAGATACTGTTTAGGAATTGTATCATCATGTTTTCAACTGTCTCCCAAGCTTCATTTATTTTAATATAGTTATTCAAGTTCCTTAATCTCATCTTTAGATATTTTTCGTCCTTTTGTTGGATATAGAGAAGTGAGACTTGTGAGCAAAGAATCTAAACATGTAAGTGCACTGTTTTCAACAGTTGTCTGCCTGTCCTCTTTTGACGTGGTTTGTCACTGTTCTACTTATTGGTTGAAAATTCCATTATCCTCTTTATGCTGAAATGCTTGCTTATTGCAGCGTGGTGGAGATCCTCTGATCCTTTGTTTTGTGGATTTTGCAAATCCAGCTTGTGCAGCAACTGCCCTGAGTACCTTGCAAGGTATTACTTCTTGTTGCCTGCTGAGATACAAGGAAATCAATTTCATCTTTTGATTGTGCTAGTCATCTACATAGGGAATCTTCTAGGCATAAGGTGACTTGGTGGAGGTTGTGAAAATTGAAGACTGTCCTTAGGTTTTTGACCATCTGAACCAAGACGTGGTTATTAAGTTGTCATGAATTTTGTAATTATAATTTTGAATCATAATGGAGGGAAAAAATTTCTAAGTCACTGAAGTGGAATTTTATCAGTAAAATTCCATATAAACAATTATAGCAGTATTATATGCTCATCTAACTGATAAAATTATTCAATATTCCACTAAACTAGAAGGATTTGAACTTGGAAAGTGTTAAATCAGTGTTACTCTAAATATCTATATGCAAGTTACCTGTTATGAAGAGGTTTATTCAAACTGTTACTTCATAATAACTGAAATTAGTGCCAACTTACATGGTTTTGTTTGTTTTCCTCTCTCGCTTAGAAGTACATAAAATTAACAAATACAGAGATATCCTTTCAATTAACTATCCACATCATTGTTTTCATCTCTTTTGAACTTATCACCATCCTGCTCTCTAGTGTCTTCCTTCTCTGTTCAAATGATCATCACTGATAATGTATTCCTGTCCTCTAATGGTGTGGCATTGTCAGTTTATTATGAAAATTTTTTGATGTCACCTAAGTTCCTAATTCTTTAAGTCAGCTGTGCCTGTGTTCCTGATTATCTTAGTCACTCACATCATAGGACTTGAATTCAATGATAAATGATTTTTCACATAATTATGTTCACAAATTTCATGTTATTTGCTGACATTGTGGGTGGGTGACAGGTTATAAAGTTGATGAACTGAATCCTGAGTCTAGTCACTTGCGGCTTCAGTTTTCTCGGTTTCCTGGTCCCAGATCTGGACCTGGACCTCGTGGCAAGAGGTGAGCTGGTTCAACCTAGGGCATTTAGGTTTTATGCTTATCATAGTGTGTTACGATCTTCCTTTATCATATACATGCAAATCTAGAGTCTCCCTCCTGGCTACAATCCTAATTTGAGCTCGTGAGGTGCACATATATTAACAGGCTGAGATCAAACTACAATTGCATTTGAGCATATCTAACATGGAGATTTTTGGGATGGTCCTAGTCAGTTTACCGTGTTGTATAAATATTGATAATTTTGTATGAACCTATTGTCTTATTGTCGTTTGCCTTTAGTTTCCCAAATAAAAAGGTATATTTTGTTTTTTGTTTTCAATAATATCTATCCTGGTTGTGTGTGCTTGTGGGAGCTGTTGTAACCTCTGTTATTAAACCACGGAACACTGGTGGTATCTCGCATATATGGTTAGGAATTGAAATTAAGAGTTCACTTGCTAAAGTGGCAATTGTTATTAGCTTGGCTTCAATGATGCCACGGTTCACAGCTCAAAAAAGTCGGAATATGATAGGTACCCAGATTGATCTGGAGGATTGTGTTTCTCTTCCACCGCCCTAACCTTCTTTCATCGGTTGGATCCAAAACTGTGATTTATTCCGAAGAGGTGTATGGTGTAAATTGGTAAGTTCCTACCGTTGAATGTCTACAAGGATTCGTTTTCCTATCGAGAAAGAATTGTTGGACCCTTTAACCAGGTTTTATCATGTTTTTAGGTCTCATTTTTCATTTTTATAAATTTATTTAAAATCTATATGCTAATTATTAATATTGTTTATGATGATATAATATTGTCCAAATACCTTTATACGTTACCACTATATATACATTAAATAGACGAATAAAACAAGTCACTTTTATGATAAAGTGAGGAATAAATGTTATTAGATTTTATTATGAATGGCTGATACTAAATATACAAGTGGTGAGCTTTTTAAAAAAAAAAAATTCATTTTTTAAAAAAAAAATCACTTACTTTTAAGAACATTCTAATCTTAGTATTTATGTGAAATTGTTCAATTTGAAATTATTCTTTAGCGTGACCTACTCGGATACAGTTCACATACATGGAATTTGTATACGTTGGTGTATGATTTATCGTCATAATATCATGTATAACTTTATATAGAATATAATTTTAATCAATTCATCTATTGAATTATAGGCATTCATTATGATTTTTTATTTACTTTTAAAGTATGCATAATAATTTTAATGTATAATTTGTAGAGATGATCTTTATAAAAACTTTTAACTGAATAATATTTTGTAATTATAAAAAAGAGCCTGAATTGTTAAAAAATATTTCAGTATTTAAAATTACAAGTGTCTGTCAATTTTATTTGGGAAATGGTGAAAAAAATAGTTATTTTAGTCTCATTAATATCTGTTACTTCATCTAACGATATATTTAATGCGACAGATTATGTTTTAATGTATTGCATACGTGACATGAAACTTAGTAGGAATTCACTTAAGGAGTTATGTGCTTGCTGCATTCAATTCTCTGATTTCTCTCATTGTTTCCCGTTTGAGCCAGAAGAAATCCCTTTAGGCTATGTTTGGGAAGAAGTTTTTAGAAGGGAAGGGAGAATATATTTTTTAATTTTTAATTAAAAAATTATATATTATCTATGATGGCAAATGTATTATTAATATATTAAATTTTTATTAATATATTAATTTATATTTTTTATTTTAAAAATATTAATTTTAAATATATCTAATTAAAATATAAAATTTTCCCTTCTCTCCCAAATTCTTCTTCTCAACCCCTTAACAAATTCTTTTAATACTTTTTAAAATTCTTTAAGACATAGCATTTTATAAGAAAACATTTAGTATTTTGAATGCACTTAATATTTATTATAATTAACTTCTAAATTACGTTAAAAGTGAGATATTTAATCGTTATTATTTTTTACTGTTAATTACATGTATTTTTTAAGATTAAAATTGATTGGTAAGATGAATTAATTTTTTTATTGCAATTGATTTAAATTTCATCTATCTTATATAAATTTTATTTTAAATTTTGAGATCAAACTATTTTTTTATTATCTTACATAAATTTTTATATATTTTTGAATACTAAACTTTATATTTATAGAATTTTTATAATCTTATATTTTGTAATTACAGATTTAAATTAAAATAATTATATGATGTATATAATTATTTAAAATTTTATTCTTTAATTATTAAAGCATATATATATATTTTTTAAAATGTATCTGCATTTCTTATTCTACTAACTAGTTTATTCTAAAGTAATCAACGAGATTATTCAATAATTTGGGAATCAAGAATTTAGAATATTATAGTGTAGTATTTTTAAGAAAATCGGCATGTCTGTTATTGTTTTGAGAATTCTTACATTTTTTTTACTATGCATTTGAGAAAGCGTTGTGGTTTTCAAGCAAATAATCGTATGAAAAGGCTTTATATCCCTTTCTAGTGGTAACTTCCCATTGACATTTTATATATTCTCTTAAACGGTTTTTGTGTCGGCAGGTGGTCCATTTCGACGTAGATGGGTAAAAAAAAAAAAGTGAAAGAAAGGGTATCGTAAAAGTAAAAGCATTTATTGCTGGTGTCAGAAAAAATAAAAGTTATAGACCTGCTCTGTTCTTATTATTTTTATTGCATAAATAATTCGATCATAATCTTTGGAAATCAAAATGAACATCACATATCGTCTATGACCATACTAAAAAAGTTCCAATGAAAGTTGCATTGTACCATATAGTTGGACCATGAACTTCCAATGGTGCTACATTTTATGGGCTATTAAAAATAGGCAAATTGAAATTTAATTGAATGGCCTGTTATTTATCTACCTAAATGGCTTTACTTATTAGTAGATAGGAAAAAAGAAATGCTTGGAATGGTATTAAAAAGACTGAATCAAAAGGAAAGATGACTTCTAATCCTATATTTTATTGAAGTATTGGTGGTGGTGGTTTAATCAATCTCTATCTTTCCTTGGCATTATTTGTGATTTGTGCAGTTGGTGACTGACTTTTCTTCTCATTACCTTAATAAGCACATCGCAAGTCCTTGAAAGTAATCCATCACAGATCAAAGATAATCATCATCCCTGTTGTTGCCTTGCAAACCTCAGTCAGCACTGCACAGATAATGTTTCCTTCTTATTCGTTGATGAAATTACAGTGGGGTATTGTCATGTTCAATTGTACTAGCACTGTTCTGCTTTCATTTTCCCCAATTAAATGGGGATTCCTTACCTCCACTGGTGTCCTTGATACTAGTGATTTTGACACACTAGAAACTGAGCATCTAATTCCACGGTAGATGAGACCCAATGCAAGCATTGTTATGTTTATTATATGCTTGATTCATTTTATTTTAAGTATATTATTGAATTTTTTTCAATTTTTGGAGAGAATTTAAAATTTAAGTAATTATTTCTCTTAATTTTAGTTGAACTAAACATCAATATTATATGGGGTTTCTCGGACTGTAGTGACATCACATGGAATTAGCAAATAGCAAACGAGAAGTGTTGAGAGTTGAGTTTTGAAGAAAAAATAAGAGAATTCAAAAATATAAAAAATTACATAATATACAAAAAATTGTATATTAAATTTATATCAATATGTTATATTATTTTAAAAAATGTAAGATTTAAAAGATATTTATTAGAAATAAAAAATTATCCTTTATCTTTTTTTTCTTCAAAATTTAATTCTCAATCATACTGTCAGAGTATTATGATTTTTTTTTCATATAATACAATTGGGTGGTTCCAAAAAAGAAAGAAGAAATTGAGATTATTGGCTGCCGTACATTGCAACATGCACATGATTGCGCTCAAAGCTCCGGGGCCAGGGATGAGGGGTAAAATGAAAAAGAAGGCAACATCTAGATAAACCCCCATTGTCCCCATTTGCAAAAGCATTGTTTCAAACTCAATTTTTTTTCTTTCCTTTGTATGGCATCTTCAAAGGCATATACCTGATTTGATGGTCTTGCCTAACAAATGTTAATAACCAATTACGTGCTTCCACAAAGTTTTTCAAAACAAAATTACTTCAAGTGTAATTGCTTTTGCAATTAGTAATTATACAACAATCTTTTGTCTGGCATAACTATGATCAAACTCTCATAACTATAATAAATACATTGTGCCTATGATTTGTCACAGTTATTACTGCATATCAGTCACCTTATTTATACATGCATTTACACGAAACAAGAGGACTATTGATTATATGGCACTATTTTTTATCTTCCAAAACTATACAAGAATCAATCTGTACTCTTGCTATCAATGTACATACATAACATTAGTGTCTACTCATAAAATTGAGTAACTGATGTGATTAAGAAGGATTTGAAGCAAATTAAAAGTTGCTAGTCATTAAAATTGAAGGTGTCAAAACCAATAAAGTAGATGGGGTCTTTCAGAGAAAAATCTTTGGATTCTTTACAGGGAGGTAGCAACTAGCAAAGAGAGGTAAATATGAGAGAGACTTTGCAGTCACACAGCAATGTGGTCCACAATTCCACATGATCGAACCAACAACACCACGCCTTCATCACATACGAGGGCATTGGCAAAATCAGTATTCTATTACTTTCACTGATTATTTTCGCTATCAATGTTTCTCTATCTTGTTTTCCTGTTTTGGTGACTATTCAAACTCGGGATCCTTCAAAGGGACTAAACACTATAGACCACGAAAACCAAGGGTTTGATGTGAAATAACTTTGACTTTAGCTTATGGATTTTAGACATGTGACGTGGCATTTGCACCCAATGTTGTGAGTTGTGATTCACCCACATCTTGATTCCCCCATCTGATCAAATTGTAGCCGTCTGATCCACCCCATGAGCATGATGGTGTATGCCAAAAATATGCAGTCAATTCCATGTTAACCTTTCTATGTCGGTAACTGAGATGATATTATAATGAACGAACCAAAGGCTTTATCTTCTTGGTACTTAGCAATTATGTTCCATTTTTCTTGCCGCGACATGAGTACAGCTAAACAAACTCAAAACATTGATGGTAATAATGCATATTTAGTTTTTTTTCACGTTGTTTAATCCTCTTGTAGTGCTTTTGATGCTTGTACAATCATCAGAGTCATTGTTTTCTTCTTCATTGTTTAGTATCCTATGCCTACATCTCTTGTTTTCACCCTGTTAATTGATTAGCTTCTATCTCTGTTTATTTGAATATTTTAATGTAAGAACATATTTAGTGGGAAAAATAATTATACGAGATGAATTTGAGTAAATAAATTTATTTACAATATTTATGCAAAATATGGATATTTTAATATTCATCTTGGTTTATACTTAAATATTATTTATTATATCGAACTTAAATTAAAAAGTATTATTATACTAGAGATTGAAAATTATAACCCTTTGTTATTGTCGTGTAACATTTTTTTTGTCCCTGTCGCTATAAATTTGTTCTTTTTAGTTCATTAATTGATTGTCTAACAGTTTTATTTTTACAATTAGTATTTAAAAATATTTTTAC